ATGTGAAATGAATAAACTTTGTATTCATCTTTGTATGTTCCTATAGTTTTTACATGATCCCTTGAACACTATAAAGACCAAATAAAAGTTTAGTGAATGAATAAATCAGTGGACAGATCATTTCTGCATATGATCAATTACAATGATAGAAATATTAAGTCAAACCAACCACTTGGATGAAAAGAATAATCTATTGAGGGATGTCAGCAACCTTACATTATAACTTCCTCTAAGGCTATGTTCTTGCGTAGCCTGCAGCAAATCCCAGCCCTATAATCCTACTCACACCATACTGGATAAAAGAACTGATGAGGAATAAAGTATTCAGTAAAACAAAACTGAAAGATTAATAAGAATACTGCCTTAATTCAAAGCCTGAGGTTTTCTAGGTTTCTCTTTTGGGTTGATGGAGAGGAGTCAACAAGTCATATAATGTAAACTTTGGATATTTATAGCTCCATAAATCCCCAAAAGGATGTCATTACCCAAACTATTCCTCACAATTCAAGTTCTGTTTCCCTTAACAAAAAATAATAAAGATAAGAATATATGACCACTAGCTAGTTCTAAACAGAAGCTTGGGAGCCTGTGATTTTACACTGACATGACTCAATCTGGTGGCTCATATTAGTGAACCAGAGCCAAGCACTACATGTGATTGGGATTCAGTAAGTTGTTGATGCTTTATTGCAGTGAGAATCAGAGACCATCACAGAAATTCTACCATTTTCTGAAGTGATTGCTATGTACCTGCTATAATCCTTGAACCAGCAACCTTTGTAGCTGATGCCACATAGAGAAATTCAGTACTTTCCACCTCTCTCATTGGGAAGGTTCTTCATTCTTTCCTCCTCATCTACTTCCTTGGCCCATTATTCTTCTCTCAATTCATCTTTCCATTTTTTCATGTTATCTCATTTTCCTATTCCTAAGACCCAATAATGATACTCATTCATACTGTAAGCATTGCTTAAATGAATTTTCCAGATCACTGAAGCTTATTCTTTTAAAAGCTAAAAATCTTTTAAAATTACTTTAACCATTTTGCTGGGAGTTTTTAAAATGTGCTATTTTCTCCCTTTATTTCTTAACAGGGTATACACCATATACTGTAAAATATTCTTGATTATGCAGGCTCATCAACCTAAGCATCCCCTAAGGCACTTTTGAGAAGTCTAGAACTCTGTTTTCCCTATACCACATAGCTCCAGTTCACTGAATACTGCTACTTCATTTCCAATCTCATTTTTATATAGTTCCATATTTCCTCTTATTGTCAGGAAGAGCTTTTACTTTTCATTGCTAGCAGTGCATCTGACTTTTGCTTCTTCCCCTCCTACTCTCTAATCTTCTATGGGGTGAACCTTGTGTGACAAAAGATTTTCTGATACATGGTCACTAGTCTTTGGGTAAGGGTCTAGGGTCTATCTTGTGAATAAAGCTCATCAGATTTGTGGCAAATGTTTCAAGAGACCCTATTTATTTAAACCTGGGTTTGGGACCATATGAATGATAAGTGAAGATAAGAATACTGAATAAGAATACTGATAAAATACTGAAGTTCAACATCTGGATAGGTGGGATGTCACTGTCATATGTATTCATATAGACATATTATTTCCTAAACAGTTTGTATTCATATTTTAGGAAGCACTATACTTATACAATTTATTATCAAAATGCATTTAAAGTGTAGACAAAAAATGAGACAGAAAAGAGCAAAGCACTGACTTTGGCAAGTTAGAGATCATCCAATTACTGAAGCTTCCTCAGACCGATCCCTGTGTCCTGCCCTTTCATTTTACTACCTTCATCTTAACAAGACACTCATTTGCCATAAACTAAGTGATCCAGCAGCAGCATCACAAGCTCAGCCTGTCATTCTTCCTTCTTAGGCAGCATTAACTGCACCATCTCTTAAGCTCCCTTTTTTCCTCATAAGAGAAAGTAATGTCTTGTATTCAGTTATCACAAATTCCTTTAAAATAATATGGTTGTAGCATTTTTTGTTGTCACACTGTTTAAAATACTAATAAGTTATATTAGTGATCCAGCTTTTTTGCCCCAATGTTTTATCATAATTGCTATTTTCTTCCTTTTTAAAAATAAATGTTGTACATATTTCAGGTATATAATATGGTGTTATAGGATATAACTAGATAGTAAAAAGGTAACTACAGTGCAGCAAATTAGCATATCCATCATCTCATATGTTACCCTTCTTTTGTTTTTGCAGCAAAAAAATAGTTAAAATCAACCCATTTAGCATGAATCCCATACACAGTAAAATTTTATTACCTATAGTCCTCATGTTGTACATTTAGATCTCTTTTCGGTTTCTTAAAGTGAAATCTGAGTGTCATCAATGGCTCTTCCCTCAGTCTCCCCTGTTAAATCAGACAACTGGCATGTGTGGTTCATTCTACATTCAAGATGCATTTTACCTTCTTCTCAATAGAGTCTGCCAAAATTCTAATGCATGGCTCTGGCATACTTCTGTTTTCCAAACATCTTTCTCACCTCCCTCTACCCTAGCCCATCCCAAATATAATACAGTAGTCACCTACTCTGTCATTGCCAGGCTCACAATCTCTACTTCCTGAATACTGTCATTGGTTAGCTCTCGAAATATTTCTTGCTTCCATTTGAATACTATATTTTCACCTTTAGTTCCTTTTATAGCACTTCTTACCACCCACCTCCTCCTGTTCAATCTTTACATTAGCACCTTCCAGTTTTATAAGCTCCATATAGTTTTGTCAGTGCAACTAAAAAACTATATCAGAATACTCTCTTTTTTTCATGTGTACTCCAGGGCTCTATTCCAGGTCACACCTTAATAATACTAACTCTTGAGAAATTTTCTAAATGCCTGGGAATTTGGTGACTATTCTGTTAATTTAATTTACTCAACTATTTTCCTTTTTATATTATTTCCCAAAGCCTCTAGAAAAAGAATTACCAGATTTTTCTTGTTATTGTTCTCCATATCCCCCATCCCTCTCCCCACCTTTCTCAGATTGTAATTGTCTAGTATGGAGCTATGTACTGAGTTAAACTGATCCCATTCCCCAAACTGTACAACTCCTGGCTTCTTCTCACCAGTCCATCCTTCTACCTCTCCCAAAGCTTTCCAATTAGCCAGTAGAATCCCCATTTCACAGTATGTAAATTCCCTTTCACCTTCAAGTCATTCAGAAAAAAAATTCTCTGTAAATCTGGGTCTCCCTTAAGGACACTGCTAGACTCCTGACTCCTGCAACTCTCTGAAAGGAAAGGATCCATTCCTCCCCAGAAAAAAACACCTCAGGATCAAGAGTAGGGGAGGATCTGCTTGCTCCCCAAAGCCATTAACAGACCAATGCTTTACCATGCTCCTTTCAGGCCCAGGACCTCTAACTAGACTTCCTCCCCAGTTCCTCATCTCTCAGTCCATGTGGCCAACCCATTTAACACACCTAATTTCCAGTTGCTTGTCCTCTTCATTGCCAACATTCTCTTATGCTCACTTTAGTTGCTCACCTTCTAGACTCCACCTGAGACCCTCTCATAACCTGAGACTACTTCCCCTACAACTTCCCACCCTTCCTGCTTCCTAAGGCCATGCCAGCCCTCCGGCCTCTCAGTCAGAGGACTTCCTGATCCTGGAAGCATTCCAAACCTTCAGTTCTCCCATGTATCCCAATCAACTGGTCCATCCTGCACTCTCTTCCTTCCCTACCCAGCTTGAGTTTTGTGGCTGACATACAGAATTATTCTTTTACTGGTACCTTCTGTTCCCTACCAGAAATTGTTGCCTGAGATTCATAAACCAACTATCTGGAGAGCCTCCGACTACTTCCTCTAACCCCACTCCCTGGCTATAATGCTGTGTGTCTTGCTTAGCCTGCCTGTAGTCTCAACTGAATTTCCTCCTAAGTGCCAGTCCATTCACCTACTTTTGCTCTAGCCTAGCCCATTCTCTTCCAAGCTTCCATTCTGAATAAATGAAATAAAAACCTTGCATTTCTATTATAATGAATTGCTTTAAAAATGCTTTTGAATATTTGTGTTACTTTATTCATGAGAATTTATGTCATGGAAGCTTAAGATAATAATGCAGCTAAAAAACAAACTGCGGTTCATGGAAGTTGTGTGGCTCACTCAAGCTCTCACAGTCTCGAAGAATGAAATGATTGGTCATCATAATTATCAGAATATATTTTCTCTCAATCCATCTGAGATACCTATGTTATGCCCAATTATTTGATGTGCTAGTTGTGGGATGAATAGACAATAAACATAGTAATCAGAAGACCAGTATTAAAAGGTACCATTGTGAAGGCAGGGACCTTGAGATCAGTTTTCTATATGCTACCAGTCATTGCAGAAGCAAACATATAAGTTGCAACTCTTGGCTCAAAGAAAAAAATAAATCCAATCAAACAGATGCAGAGAAACTACAAGCTAGCCAAGCTGCTTTGTGCTCTCTGGGCCAGCTCTCAAAACCAAAGGCAATAAATGAAAAGAATCATAGCATTGCAAGAGCAACTGAGCCCAAGATGGTAAATCAAGGTAGAGAAGAGAGCAACTGGAACTTACTAGAGGAAAGTCCTTTCATGCATAATTAGTTTGCATTGGAAGAGAAAACTGGTATGTGACATGCTCATTTCTGAACAAAATAAAAATAAAGCAGACTGCTTTCTTCTTCATCCTGCACTATCTAGACATTTTTGACATAATAAAGACAATAAATACAATCAAGTACAAATCCTAGTGGATGCACAGGCAGTAATAAGGTTGAACAAAAACCCTAAATAAATTTTTAAACAAATTTTATGAGTTTTTTTAATTAAAAAAAATCAAAAGACATGCCTCTATAAATCTTTGAGATTCTTGGATAAAAATGGATATTACACATTTGTATTTGTACATATCTCTAACACAACTAATATTGTTATCTGCCCTCGGAATGCTATCACCCAACAATCCTGCAAATATTTAGCAAAATAATCACTTACCTTATAGAAGATCAAAAAAAGGTCATCCAGTTTCCCATGTAAATCACCTGGAATTCAAATGAAAATTCACCATTCAAAAACATATAAGATGTAAAAGTCTATTTAATAAAAGACAGATGTTCTCAAGTGTTTTTAGGGCCTGGGTTTTGACCCTATGATGATATTAATTCAATAGACAATTTGTTTCCACAGTGCTTTCTTCTCCTTTAGAGGGACAACATCTGGTACTGCAAAGACCTGTTCTCTAGCCATTTATGCAGGGATTCACTTACTCTGAATCAAGCACTATGCCAAGGACTGTACATACATTATCTTGCTTAATCCTTATAACCACTCTATGAGTATTATTTTCATCATTCTCATTTTCCAAATGAAGCTGAGAGTAGGTAAGCAACTTGTGCAGTTACTCAGCTACCCAATATCAAACGTGGAATTCAAACCCAACGTTGCCCCCTTTCGAAACTAAAGCTTTTAGTGATTACTCTGTACTGCCTATGCTATAAATCCAGAAGAGCAGCAACAGTATCTATCATAGTTAATATTCAATCCCCAAAGGCCTACCATAGTACCTGGTGAATTGCAGTCACTCAACAAGTCACTAAATGCATTTATTTATATATATATATATATATATATATATATATACACACACACACACATACATACATACACACACACACACGTGTGTGTGTGTATATATATATATTTTTAAGTTGCTGATGGCCTTTATTTATTTATTTATATGCTGTGCTGAGAATCAAACCCAGTGCCTCACACATGCTAGGCAAGCACTCTACCACTGAGCCATAACCCCAGCCCCTAAATGCATAATTTTTTAAAGACATGTTTCAAATATGCTCCAGCAGTAGCATCTGAAATTTAAAAATTGTGAAGAAATAGTTGACATTCTTTTGATGAGAGCTATAAGAAATAAAAACAAAAGCGAACTAAAGGAAACCATATGAATATATGAAGTTATTAATTAAAAAATTAAGAGTGATTGTGAATATTCAAAAACCCCATATGAATAAATATTTCTAGGTAAAACATCTATCTTTTATAAACTCTGCTCATGAAGTTTTATTTTTTGTATCTAACTTAATTACCATAATATTTAATTTAGGAATACGTTTACTCAGTTTGTTTAAAACCCCACAACCAAGATTTATCAAATATGCACAATGGAAGACTTCAATTACACTTGGAATAATAAAATTAAAATTCTATATCACTATCTCTTATTTATAAGATAACTACAATTTTAACAATAAAATTAAGAGCATATTAATGTTATTGAAGGCTTAAATCTCATTACTTTCATAACAATCTCACTCCAAAGCTAAGGAAATAAAGATGGAAGAAATTTTTACTTATCAGTTTAATAAAATTATTATGTTAATTATTTTCTAAACTTTCTTCAGAGTGACTCATCAAAGATTTGAGTATACTGGACTATAGTAGCTAGAATGCTCAAAAATGAGCTTGTTTCAGCGTATTAAGAATTGAGGTTAGGTGTGGTGATGCATGCCTATAAATCCCAGCAACAAGATTGCAATTTCAAAGCCAGACTCAGCAATTTAGCAAGGCTAAACACACAGCAAAACCCTGTCTCAAAAAATAAAAAGGGTTAGGGGTGTGACTCAGCGGTGAAGCACCCCTGGGTTCAATCCACGGTAACAACAACAAAAAAATGGGGAACCCTGGGTTTGATCCCCAGCAAAGGAAAAAAAAAAAGAGTTGAGGTTATAAAAATATTTGGAATTTCTAGTTGGACAATAAAAGAAAAACTTATGCCAGGAAAATATAAATACAAAGACATTTCTACTGCAAATAAAAAATGAGTGCAGAATTAATTATCATTTATAACTATAGACTAAAAAATTCCTATATTTCATGCATGCTGAGAACTATGGGGTATATTTAGATGTACATGTAAAAATGCATCTTGAAATTAAAATGTGGGATAGCTGGGTCAAATGGTGTTTCCATTCCCAATATTCCAAGAAATCTCCATACTGCTTCCATATTGGCTACACCAATTTGCAGTCAACATATGAGTATACCCAAAGGACTGAAAAACAACATACTAGAGGGACACAACTACATCAATGTTTACAGCAGCACAATTCACAATAGCTAAACTGTGGAACCAACTTAGTTGCCTTTCAACAGATGAATGGATAAAAAAAAAGTGGCACATATATACAATGGAATATTACTCAGCAATAAGAGGGAATAAAATCATGGCATTTGCAGGTAAATGGATGGAGTTAGAGAAGATAATGCTAAGTGAAGTTAGCCAATCCCAAAAAACCAAATGCTGAATATGGTTTTCTCTGATATGAGGAGGCTGATTCATAGAGAGGGGGAGCATGGGAGGAATAGACGAACTCTAGATAGGGCAGAGGGGTGGGAGGGGAAGGGAGGGGAGCATGGGGTTAGAAATGATAGTGGAATATGATGGACATTAACATCCAAAGTACATGTATGAAGACACAAATTGGTGTGAATATACTTTGTATACAACTAGAGATAAGAAAAATTGTGCTCTATATGTGTAATATGAAATGTAATGCATTCCACTGTCATACATAAATTTAAAAAGTAATTAAAATGTGGTAAATGGTAAAATATTTTCTCTTCCTTTATTGATATTATCTTAAAAGAGGATGGTTTTGGAAATATAGTTTCACTTTAAATTTTATTTTAAATGATAACCAAATTTTCAAAGCTCAATTGGTTACTAAAGATAAAGTAATAATTATTATTTTGTAATTAATTATTACTTAAAGACAAAGTAATAATTCCTATGTTAAGAGAACCTATTGATCTTGGCTTTTCCTTCTACCAATGATGCTACATAGAATAAATCTGGAAATAAATGCCCAAGATGTGGATTCCTTAAAAAAAAATGCAACAGTTTAATCCATCCATTCTCCAGTCTGTCTCATGAGGAAAACTGAAACATTAGCTAGACAAGTGAATGTTGCAAACTAGTAGAGCAAATATGGGGTTGCCTCTAACTTGGGATACAGATGTCCTAATTTCTAATTCTCATCCTGACACTAGGGGTAGGGATGTAGCTCAGTGGTAGAGTACTTGCCTGGCATGCACTAGGACCTGGGTTCAATCTCTAGCACAAACAAACAAACAAGGGATAGACCAGACCATTGCTATATCTTTCAGGTCATTTTAGGCACAGATAATTCTGCAATGGCAACTAGAGGTATGATAGAAGTACCTGGAAACAGACCCCACTCTCTATTTTAGCTACTATTTATATTCTGATAGCAAGCCTAGTCCTGGATTCATAGGTTTCCCAGATTGGCATGACTTCCTGAGTCTTATTATCCTAAGTTCTTTATTTCCACAAAACTTAAGGCCTGGTAAGCCCTTAAATAAAAGACCCCCATGCTGAGATGTACCATGTGCTAGTCAGAGATGTGGTGGCCTGATTGGGTTGGAATTAAACCATTATAGTCTCTTCAAAAACTTGAGTCAGGGCATGTTATGAGTTACGTATTGCTATATCATCAAGTTCCTGTCACCAATATCAGATGCTAGAAATGGAAATGGTTTAATTAGATTGTCAAATCCACTTCTACCTGCCAGAGTAAGAGAAACACAGGCTAAAAATTGATTTGGAAAATAACAATCACTACTTTGTAACCTAAAGGCTTAATTAGAAGTTAAGGGAATTGCTGTTCCTTCCACGCACTCCACTCCCAGACAGTTGTAAGCATGCTGGGCACCAACTGTGATGAATTTCAATGTGTACTGTTTCTTGAAGCAATATCCTGCCAGGCTGGCCTATATGATAACAAAATCTCAAATCTTGTTATTTAGAAGAACAAGAAACAGATTTCTGGGACATTCCCACTCTTCTAAAAGCTGCAGAGACTAGTTGGAAAAAATCTAAAACAGCAGCCAAGGGCAGAAAAGAATTTAATCTCCATCCTGCCTTAGGTTTTTCTCTTCCCAGCATAAGTGGCATGCAGAGGCCTACCTAGAAAAAGCAACATGGAACAAAGATAATGAGAGTTAGTCAGAGGGCAAAGAATGCTTATTCTACCCATGGGTGGTTTTCCATATTAAAATGTTGTCTGCCTTTATAAAAAGCTATGAGTTCTTTAATTTCTTACATAATTAATTCCTGCCAGCTGGTATGCACAACAAAGACAAGATAGGGAAGAGTATTATCATGATAGATAATTCTATATTAACATTCTTCTCTCAACACAGTCCAATTTACACAGTTTTCTAGTTGGGCAAATGATGTAGGACCATGAGGCACTTAAATATTAACTTAACAATTTTGCTCTGAAACTTACCACAGACTGTTATCTCTTTGGAGGGAGAAGTTTTTACATGAGTGAAATTCGGCATATGCTTCAGGAGTTTCCTGGTTTCAAATAACACCTCTAAGACATAATGAGCATGAAGTATCTGCAGGGGGGAAGTCACGGAAATAGATATAAGAAACTAAGAAGAAAACTATAAAAGTGAAGCATAGGAGCACATTTTAGGTTGCTATACTTCAGGATAACCTCTAAATTTTTCTTAAATAGATTATTCTAGCATAGTATCTAGCAAATAAAAAGCCCTTAGTAGATATGTGTAACTGAATGAATGAATGGTTCTGAAGACATTTATATTCTCATATTCTTCATTGACACAATTCATTTTCAGAACATTTCTAATTATTCTTGGTCCTTAGAACCCAAGAGAAGTAAGGAGAAGCAAGGGGGCTCACTTGCCCTAGGGAAATGTTCAGACAAAATAATAATAAAAGAGAAGGAGAAAAAAGGAAACAGAGAAAAAGAAAGGGAAAGAAAAGCAGAATTTGGGGCTGGGGTTGTGGCTCAGCGGTAGAGCACTCGCCTAGCATGTGCGAGGCCCTGGGTTGGATCCTCAGCACCACATAAAAATAAATAAAATAAAGGTATTTTGTCCAACTATAATTTTAAAAATTAAATTTTTTAAAAAGCAGAATCTGTTGAAGAAGTGTTGCTTTGCATTTGTGAGGATGTCCTGCCACCTGCAATGAAAAGTAGGTGTTGCTGGGCTTGGAGATCTCACAACCAGACAGGTTCCAAGGAACTCCTGAGTCAAGCCTCCCAGATGTGGCTCAAATATTTGGTGTATAGCCTTGAGACTGCTTAAAACAGAAAGCATATTTATATAAAAGTCTAACAATAAAATATATTTGAAACCCAAATAAAATACTTGGATTGGAGCTGGGATTGTGGCTCAGCGGTAGAACGCTCATCTAGCATGTGCAAGGCTAGTTCGATCCTCTGCACCACATAAAAATAAATAAAATAAAGGCATTGTGTCCAACTACAACTAAAAAAAAATTTTTTTAAAAACTTGGATTATCTCCTATTTATAATTATTAATCTCATTGTTCTAGTGTTATAGTGTTGATGGCATAAGTGTTTTGCAGATTTACTGATTTTTCCCCTTGACTTCTTTTTAATCCATTGTGTCTTCCTCTGCCTTTTTAAATTATAAAATATTCCAAATATTTACTCCAAAATATAACAGAGATGTGACCACCACAAAAATTTAACAGATGTTAACACAACTTTAAAGTTTAGGACTATTTAAACCTATGCTGGCTGTTCAATATGGCAGGCACTAGCTACATGGGGCTATTGGAAACATAAAATGGGGTTCTTCTGACTTGAGATATGCTCTAAGAGCAAATTTCATACTAGGTTTCAAGGATTTAATATGAAAAAAATAAATGTAATTTTTAATATAATCACATATTGAAATAATACTTTATATATTGAGTTAAATAAATTATTAAAATTGATTTTACCTTCTTGTATATTTTAAATGTGAATACTAGAAAATTTCAAATATATGGCTCACATTTTATTTCTATTAGACAGAACTGGTTTATATTATTGCCAGCTGAGAAAGGGGTCATTGCTGAATATCTTTCAGATACTGCTCTGGGTATAAGGGAAAATAGAACCCTTTGGACTAATACTGTCTCATGGTGTCCTGAAATTTCCATTTTCATAACTTTTAAAATAAAATTACTTTTTATCCAAGATCCAAAAATATTTTATGTAAATTTTGAGAATTTTCATTATTATTGTTTTAAAAGAAACAAGAAACAGGATTTGTAGCAATGTGAGAATTAGGAGGAAACAGAAAGTTCCTTGGATCTTGATGAGTGAGGAATTTCCTGCTCTTCCAAGACTTAATGGACTGCAAAGTCTTTTCCCCACAAAAGCATTCTAACTCCATTCAATCTACAACTTGAATCAAAACTTGATTGTGAATTTTCCTGCAGTCATATTTTAAAGGAACAGGCAAAATATTTTTTAATGGCTTATTTTAAGTTCACACATTTAATCTAGTGATTTTTAATGATGCTTCTGAGTAACCTTGTCATTGTAGCTTTTCTGGTCCATTTGTAGTATTAATCAGAGTAATTGCTGTCTGAAGAGGATGATTTGCTTTTTTTTTTTTTTTTAAGTTAAATTAATATTCACTGAGAATATCTTGTAACAATAGAAAATTCTCAGTATAAATAGTTTTTCTGGATTCTCTTTAGGTTGAGTAAAATCACTTCATTAATTTTATTACTTGCCTGTAAGGCCATCTTTCAGCAGCATTATAATCTTATATTTACAACTACAATATTAAATATTCAAAACAGGTAAATCAGACATTTTTATATTTGTAAATATATTTGAATTAAACAATCTCTTAAATAAAATATTCACATTCTTTTAAACGCATCAAAGGAGGGAAAATGCTACTTTTTTTCCTTTCTTTTTTTATTTATTTTTACATAAAATGCTACTATTAAAGGATATTTCTTTTTCAAAAAGTAGTTTTAAATAGATAAGATTCTTTTTTTTTTTTTTTTAGTTGAAATAAAAATGTGACATTAAAAAGGGATAGAACAAGCCAGGAGAGGCGGCACACGCCTGTAATCCCAGCGGCTCGGGAGGCCGAGACAGAAGGATTGCAAGTTCAAAGCCAGCCTCAGCAACGACGAGGCACTAAGTAACTCAGTGAGACCCTGTCTCTCAATAAAAATCCAAAACAGGGCTGGGAATGTGGCTCAGTGGTCGAGTGCCCCTGAGTTCAATCCCCCATAGCACCTCCTCCATCCAAAAAAAGGGATAGAACAATGAAAAGTGACTTTCCCTTTTTCCCAGACCTCAATCCCCCATCCCTGTCCCCAGAAGCAGTCACTATTGAGAATGTTTTTAGTATCTTTCCCAAAAATATTCTACTTGTTTGCAAGTATACAGAATTAATATAACTATACATGAATATTCAAATGTAGGTATAAATATATAATCCTTTAAGTAAAATGTGGTATATCCATATAAAGTAATATTATTCAGCTAAAAATAGGAATGAAATACTAGAACATGCAACAAAATGAATGAACTCTGAAGACATTATGCCAAGTGAAAGAAGCAAGACATCAAAGTCCACATATATTATATAATTTCATTATATGAAACATCCAGATCTGAGAAATCTGTAGAGACAAAAAGTTAAATTAGTGGTATACTAATTCCCCAGGAGCTGAGGAAAGTGAATGTTAATGGATACAGGGTTTTATTTGGGGATGACAAAAATATTCTGGAAATAAGAGCAGTTGCCTGGCATCATGCACAGTCCCTGAGTTTGATCCCCAGTACCACACACACACACACACACACACACACCAAAAAAAAAAACACAAAAAAACAGTTCTGGAATAGTGTTGGTTGAATAACATTTTAAATACTAAAAAACCACTGAATCATGTACTTTAAAATAGTTTGAATGGTTGATTTTATGTTATATGAATTTTATTGCAATTTTTAAAGATAAAAAACATAGTCCTTGATTTTTTTTCTTACAATGGGAATATACTGTATACTGTGTTGAACCTTTTATTCTTTGAGTCTTTCCTTAATAATATAATTTTTCATATTTATAAAGTCAAAATTATAAAATTTTCCATTATAGCTCCTTGGATGATGTTATATCTTTTTATCTCCTTGAACATATTAAGCATATTTATTTTAAATTCTTAGTCTAATAATGTCATTATCTGAATATGGGTTTGTTTCCATTATCTGTTATTTATCTGTTTGCTTTCATGCATCATGGACACTGTATAGGAAAAACTGTAGAAATAATTTCAGGCCTATTTTTTTCCAGAGAGGATTTAAATTTGTTGTTGGCAAGTGACTAGGAGCACTAGCTACGTAGGATGATCTCAATTCAATTTCATAAATCAGATGATTCAAAGCTATGCTTCAATTCCTGCAGAGCCAGCCTATTTCCAGTTCACTCTTACTCTGAGAGTATCCCTTTTATGTCCTAAATTGAGAAAAAGGGTTTAGGGGTGATATCAGAGACAATGATGTAGTGAGCTCCAAGATCCAATCCCTCCACAGAACTATTGAAAAATCAAACCAAAAAAACTGTCAGAATCAATTTTGTCAGAGCTCTGAAATATCTTTGAGGTTTACAGCAGTCAAACACACACTAAATAAAGAAAAAGGAAACTTGACAATGTCTAAGCATAAGCATGATACTTTGCAAGACAGATTTGTAAATGGCCTGACCAAGCAGTGAAGCAAGGGTCCCAATAGAGTCAATCTGCAAAGACTGAGAGAAATTTCTTTTTTTCTTTCTTCCTTCATTTCATAAGGAACTGAATGGACATTACAGAAACCACACACACAACTAGACTTAATAGACATGTATAGAATACTTACCCCAAAACAGCAGACTCATTTTTCTCAAGTACACATGGAAAATATTCCAGGATAGACCAGATGTTAAGTCACAATATAAGCCTCAATAAATTTAATTTTAAAAGACTGAAATGGTGCAAAGTATCTTCTTTGACCTCAATGGAATGCAACTAGAAATCAATAACAGAAGCAAAACTAGAAAATACATTACTCTTAAACAACCAATGGAAAGGAAAAAAAACCCACAAGAGAAATTAGAAAATACTTTGAGATGAATGAAAATGAAAACACAACACACCAAAACATATGCAATATGGCAAAAGCAGTGCTCAGAGAGAAATTTATAACTGTAAATGTCTGCATTAAAAAAATTATTTCAAGGACAGAATAAAATAGTCATTATTATTGCTGTGTGTATATATGAGACTGCATGACCAATGTGATTCTGCAGCCTGTACACTCAGAAAAATGAGAAATTATATCTCATCTGATTCAAATGTATGATATGTCAAGATCATTGTACTGTCACGTGTAACTAATTAAAACAAATTAAAAAATAAAAAATAAAACACTGGAGGGAGAGAAAAAAAATTATTTCAAATCCAACAGTACTTTTAGTTCACTAGAAAAATAAAAGCAAACTAAACCCAAAGTTAGTAGAAGGAAGAAAATAAGAATTACAGTAGGGATAAATGAAACAGAGCAGAAAAACAACAGAGAATCAACAAAAGTTGGTTCTTCATATCAACAAAATTAATAAACCTTTGACTAGACTGAAAAAAAGGGGTGGGGCAGAGAGAGAGAAAATTCAAACAACCAAAATCAGAAACAAATATAAGGCTATTACCATCAACTTTAAAGAAATTACAAAAGAGCCGGGCTTGGTGGCACACACCTGTGATCCCAGCAGTTCAGGAGGCTGGGGCAGGAAGATTGAAAGTTCAAAGCCAGCCTCAGCAACTTAGTGAGGCCCTAAGCAACTCAGCAAGACCCTGTTTCAAAATAAAATATAAAAAAGGGCTGGAGATTTGGCTCAGTGGTTAAGAGCCCCAGGTTCAATTCCTGGTACAAAAATAAATAAATAAATAAATAAAATAAAAAGATTGTAACAGAATACTATGAACAACTGTACATTAACAAATTAGATAAGTTATATGAAATGGACAAATTCCTAAAAATACACAAATTACCAGAGTAGACTCAAGAAGAAATAGGAAATCTGCACAGACCTACAATAAGTAAAGAGATTGGATCAGTAATCAAAAACCTCCTAGTAAAGAAAAGCTGAAGTCCAGGTGGCTACACTAATTGAATTAAATACTGGAGAATAAAATTAACCAAGTTATATTGTGTGCATGTACAAATATATAACAACCACTATAATGTGTAACTATAATGCACCAATGAAAAATTATAATAAAAAAATTAACACCAATCCTTCTCAAATTCCTCCCAAAAAAAGAAACCAAATAAGAGGGAAAAATACCTAACTCATTCTATGAAATCATTATTACCCTGATATCAAAGCCAAACACAGACACTAAAAGAAAATTACAGATCAACTATCTCTTAAAAATGTAGATATAAAAATCTTCAACAAAATGCCAGTAAACCAAATTCAACTGCATTTTAAAGAGATTATTAACCATGACCAAGTGAGATTTACCTCAGGAATATAAGGGTGGTTGAAAATAAGAAAATGAATCAGTGTATTATACCACATTTAGAAAATGAAGGAAAACACACACACACATACACATACAATTATCTCAACCCACACACATACAAAAAAAAATAAAGAAAACTCAAAACCCTTTTATGATAAAATTACTTAGGAAACTAAAATTAGAAGGAAACTTCTTCAGCATGACAAAGGGCATTTATGAAAAACCCACAACATCAAACACCATGGTGAAAGACGGAAAGATTTCCCTTTAAGACAGGAACAAGACAAACATTCCAACTTTCATCACTGCTACTCAATATTGTACTACAAGCTCTAGACAGAGAAATTACACACAAAACAAAAGCATACAGATCAGAAAAGAGGAAAAATAAAACTCCACAAAAGACATGATCCTGTATGGAAAATATCCCAAAGAATCTGCATAAACCAAAGAACTATCAGACCTGATAAATCAATTCATTGAAGCTGCAAGCCATAAACAATGCAAAAAAAAAAAAATCAAGAAAGCAATTTCTTTTACAGAGTCAACCAAATACCTAAGAATAAATTTAACCAAGGTTGTGAAAGACTTGTCCACTGAAAACTAAAAAACATTGCTGAAAGAAATTAAGGGAGACATAAATAAGTGGGAAAATACCCTGTTTTCATGGATTGGAAGACAATGTTGTCAAATGGCAATACTACCCAAACAAAGTATTGCCTATGAATTTAATGCAATACCTATCAAAATTTCAATGGCTTTTTTGCAGAAATAAAATTTTCAATCCTCAAATTCATTGCAAGGAACCCTAAACCACCAAAACAAAATTGAAAAGAAAGAACAAAGCTGAAGAACTCACATTTCCCTATTTCAAAGGTTACAACATAGTCAGGGATGTAGCTTAGTGGTAGAGTGCTTGCCTAGCACACATAAGGCCCTGGGTTCAATTCCTAGTCCTGCAAACAAACAAACAAAAAAAACCTTGCTGGAAATGGTGGCACATGCCTATAATCCCAGTGACTTGGGAGACTGAGACAGGAGAATAGCAAATTCAAGATCTGCCTGGGCAACTTAGCCAGGCCCTGTCTCAGAATAATTTTAAAAAGGGCTGGGATGTAGCTGCAGAGGCAGAATGCTCCTGGGTTCTATCCCCAGTATCTCCACAGGGGGGGGGGGGGGGAAAGAAGAAGAGGAGGAGGGAACAAAAAAAAGAAAACTTACTACAAAGCTACAGTAACTAATACAGTGTGCTACTGGCATAAAGACAGACATACAGGGGGCTGGGGATATACCTCAGTGGTAAAGTACTTGCGTGGCATGTAGGAAGACTTGGGCTGGATTCCCACCAATACACAAAAACAAAAACAAATAAATAAAAAAGATAAATGCATAGACCAATGAAATAGAATTGATAGTCCAGAAACAAATGCATATATCTATGGCTTATGGATTTTGAACAAGAGTGCCAAGACCACTCAATGGGAAAAGAATAGTCTCTTCAACAAATGATGCTGGGACAACTGCATAACCATATGCAAAGAATGAAGAAGTTTGACCCCTATCTCATGCTATATAGGAATTAACACAAAATGGTTCATAGACCTAAATATAAGAGCTAAAACTATAAAACTCTTAGAAGAAAATACAGGAATAAATTTTCATGATCATGGATTTGACAATGGATTCTCAGATGACACCAAAAAATGCATAAGCAACCAAAAGGAGAAAAGTTAATTAACTGGACTTTGTTAAAATAAAAATTCTTGTGCATCAAAGTCCATTATCAGCTGGGCACAGTGGCACATGCCTGTAATCCCAGTGGCTGGGGAGGCTGAAAGAGGAGAATGGCCAAGTTAAAAGCCAGCCCCAGAAATTTAGCAAGGCACTGAACAACTCAGCAAGATCCTGTCTCTAAATAAAATATAAAAGGGCTAGGGGAGTTCAAAGCCAACCTCAGCAAAAGCGAGGCGCTAATCAAATCAGTGAGAACCTTGTCTCTAAGTACAAAAGAAAAAAGAAAAAAAGGGCTGGGATGTGGCTCAGTGGTTAAGTGCCTCTGGGTTCAATCCCTGGTACCAAAAAAAAAAAAGTCCATTAACAAGAAAGTGAAAAGACAATCTACGGAAAAAGAAAAAAAATCGTAAATCATATATCTGATAAGGAACTTAAATCCAGACAGAACTCTTATAACGCAATAAAAAAAAAAAAAAAAAGACAACCTGGTTTTAAAATGGGTGAAGGATCTACATAAGCATTTCTCCAAAGGAGGTACACAAACAGCCAATAAATACATGAAAAATGCTCAACACTATTAGGAAACGTAAATCAAAACTACAATAAGGGCTGGGGTTGTGGCTCAGGGGTAGAGCACTTGCCTAGCATGTGTGAGGCACGGGGTTTGATTCTCAGCACCACATAAAACAAATGAAATAAAGATATTTTATCCATCTGTAGCTAAAAATATTTTTTTAAAACTTCAGTGAGATGCCATTTCACACAATTAGGATAGCTACAATAAAAATGAAAATAAAATAATAAGTGTTGTCAAAACCATGGAGAATTGGAACACTCATACATTGCTGGTGGGAATGTAAAATTGTTTGGCCACTGTAGAAAACAGTTTAGCGGTTACTCAAAGAGTTACCGTAATTCTACAATCCCACAATTCTACTTCTAGGTATATACCCAAGAGAAGTGAAGATGTGTTCATACAAAAATTTGTACATAAATGTTCATAGTAGCATTGTTCATAATAACCAAAAGGTAAAAACAATCCAATGTTCATCCACAGATAACACAGTAAACAAACTGATATACAATGCAATATTATTCAGCCATTAAAATAAATGAAGTAATGATACATGCTGTGACATGAATGAACCTTAGAAATTTCTGTATCATTACTGTTAAGTGAAAAAAGCCAAACACAAAAAACCATATATTATGTAATTTCACTTATATGAAATATCCAGAATAGGCAAATTCATAGAGACAGAAAGTAGAATAGTGGTTGCCTAGATGAAGGAGGAGGAAATGGCAAATCAGTGTGGCCTTTCTTTTGGGGTGATGAAAATGTTATTCAATTAGATATTGGTAATGATTATACAACCTTGTTAATGTACTAAAAATCACTGAATTGTACATTTTAAATCTGTGAATTTTATGGTATGTGAATTATGTCACAAAAATGGAAAAGGAAATGTTATAAACATCCAGATCAAGAGGAGGTTGCTATGCATCTGAGGAGACTTCTATTTAATAGGTTAAACAAAGTAGAAGGTAACTCTGACCTAAGATGAATTGTTTGGCCACTGTACAAAACAGTTTAGCGGTTTTTTTCCCAAGGAAATACATTTCTGATGCAGTATGAAATTCATTCATTCAATAGATGGTCACTGAGCAGCTGCTCTGTACAAAAACCAAGGCAGAATCTGCTTCCACTTGCCTGTTGTTGCTTAAAGGCCTCAAGAAGGTGATTGATGTCAGTAAAAGTGAGAGGAAATTCCAGGCGAGGGCCTTCATAAGAGTCCGGTACATCTATCAACCCTACATACTCCTGTCTATCCTTGATATCCTGGAAGGTTCTTTCAAAAAGCCGACTTACAAGTTCTGGAAAATTAAAGACAGAAAGGTGGGTGAACAGTGGAAATCAACATTTCAATACTTACATGTAATAAAAATCTTCTTGAATACCTAGCCCATAAGGCACTGGTGTTAAATATTATGAATATCAAGATATCCCACAAATAACCATGAGGAATGACTGATTCTGAGACCAATAGGTACATTCACATAGATAACCATTATCCCTTCCTGGGATAATGTTTTGACAAAGTACTGAGTCTATAATCAGTGCAAAGGAAGAGAAGCATCATAAAAACTGGTCAGTCAAGGTATTTTGATTCTCTGAAACTCTAGCTCTAAATTTTTTGCCCACTCCTTTCATCTCAGGTTTTTACCAACAGGGCTAAAAACACAACAATTCATTGTATTTTATTCAAACAACTGCTGCTATTCAGGAGCTACAAAAAATTAAACTACAACATTCAATTTTTCTCATTAAACACTTGAGAGGATTTTACTTAGTTGTAATTAATTTGCTTCTCCCTTCACATAAAAATTTTCTTACATGATTTTCTTTTTTTCTTGATAACAAAGCAATAAAATTAAATGACAAACCATAAGCAGAAATGTCCAAAGCCCTCTTTGAGAGACATTTCTGTATAGTAACAGATTGCCTACATTCCCCATTTTAGTAGGTACTGAGACCCACAGTCATTTCTTACAAGATTACCCACAAAACAGTCAGCTCAAGAACAGACATCCAGACAATTCAGGCAGAGAAAGATGAAAGGGGATGTGACAGACTGATCACAAAAGTGGCCTCAATTCTCTATCCTAGCTTCTACCCATGCCTTTTAAAATGTGATTTAGTCATTTCTCCCATTAAGCATATTTTTCCATCCCTTCAAACTAGTCCAGGTTCATGACTTGCATTGGCCTGAAGAATATGGGGGAAGTAATACCTACTAACTTCATGTCCAGGTCTCAGGAGGCCTTGTATGCATCTCTCTTTTGGAAAACTACCACTACCTCTAAGCCCAGGCTAGCTGAATAAAAAAAACCAACACCATGTGGAACAGAGCTGCATCATCCTAGCCAAAGGTGTTCAAGATTATTCAGCAGCCAGCAGAGCTTCAGACACATGAGTGACCTCAGCCAAGACCCAAAATACTGCTAAATCAAGTCTACCAAGATCATCAGAAGTGGTCAGCTAATCTGTAGACATGCTAGAAGAAATGTTTACTGTATAGCACTGAGGTATTGTGGCTAATACACAAGATTATTACAGTAAGAGAGGACTGGTCCAAGCCAGGAATGGTGGCACACACCTGTAATCCTAGCAGCTCAGGAGGCTAGGCAAGAGGATCAACAGTTCAAAGCCATTCTTAACAACTTAGGAAGGCCCTAAGCAATTTAGTAAGACCAGGTCTCAAAATAAAAAATAAAAGGACTGGGAATTGGTTCATTGGTTAAGTGTCCCTGGGTTCGATCCCTGATAACAAAACAGAGAGAGAGGGAAAGAGAAATGGCCCAGAAGATGATGACATACTCTTCAACTCATTAACACTGATTTGTAATTAAGGCCATTCACCAGAAGTTCTCTGCAAACAGTTCCTTTCTTTTTGAATATTTAGAGTGATGTGTTTAGAAGGTATGATGTTAGTAGATGTAGATAAAATATATTTTTTCACAATCCAGTTATGCTGAGAAGATTACATTTAAAAACTAAGTCTGAAAACAAATTCTAAAGTTATATTTGGTCATTTAAAAAATATTTTCTAAATTGTGTACCCCAATATTTTTTGGTGATAGTTGATGATGTTTTATAAAAAGCAGAATTTAGAAGTAATAATATCTGTCTTCAATGTGGTCCAGCAGAGGTTATTTTTCTCATTTGGATTTGGTTTAAAATTTAAGATAACTTATTTTAATTAATAATAATAATGCTAGAAACATTGGATTTTGAGATTTAAGAATAATTCGTTTCAATTAATAATTAATAATGCTAGAAACTAGAAATATAAGCATCCTTGATATACTTTATTTCAGATTCATTATGTAGGCAGTGACGCCCAAATAGTTTACTTAACTATCTTAATGATGATACCACCCATTTTAATTTGATAGCCATTCTTGGAGATGAATTTTGTACCAAAGGAAAATTTACTTTTCCTGACTAAATACATTGAAATATCACAAAACTCTTGGGGAAAGAAAACAACCCACTTCTCAGGGAAAACAACTACACCACAAAAATACCCCAAATTTAACTGCATCATCTAACAGAATTGTCAATATTGGTTTCTGTAATAGACTTTAAAAAATAAAGTGAATATGGAACATATGGTCAGGAGTAGAGGATTTTGTTTTATAGATGAGGAAGGAATTTATGACATGGTTATAGTATTCATGACAAAGGCAGTATAGCCTTTGAAACATGCCTGACTTAGAAATCCAGATGTTATAAGAGAAAAAGAAGTTGAGGATGTAGATATGGGGATGCCTATGGACATGTCCAACCCTTTGCTCCTTCCAAATTCTCAGAGGCAACCGTGTTAGTCAATTTTCTCTGCTGCCTATACCTTCAGTATGATCCTTTCTTCAAACTCTGTAAATAAATTAGACATAGCTAAAGACTCCTGAAATCAAAAATTCCACCCTGGACTTCATATCTGTCCACACTGAGAAAGATTTCCTCTTCCAACCTTCCAAAACAACACTCTATTATTTGATATTTCTATGTTTATTCTTGGACAACTCTTTCTTCATTCTGTCTCCTCCTTGGATAATTTATTCTCATCCTCCAAAATTCAGAATGCATCCAGGTTGAGTCCCAAACCCCTCCTTCTTATATTGAAGATGATGACAATGATAATGATGACAATGATAGCTCTTACCTATTTAATAAACTATGTGCCAGGCATTGTTTTAAGATCTTTACATGTATAAATTCATGTAATAACCACAACTACCCTTGTGAAGTAAATATTGCTATTTCTCTATTTTATACATGAGGAAGATGGGGGCAAGATGGTAAGTGAAGAGATGAAACACATATTCTTAATCATTATACTTTAACTATATATTATACTACATAGCATTATTGACATTCTTATAACTTATTAATACCAATTCTGTGAGGTATAAGCAAAAATTACTTCTTTTTCCCAATCATTGCCTTCACCCATGCTCTGTCATTTCTCCCTTTCTCATCTACTAACTGATATAACAAGCCAATTCCATCAAATCCAGTGATTAGAAATCAGTCTTGTTAGGTAAGAAAAAATGAAAACACCCTTCTTCTTTAAAACAAACAAACAAAAAAGCTTGGCTGAGTGTGATGGTACATGCTTTAATTCTAGCTATATGGGAGGCTGAAATAGGAGAATCACAAGTTTTAGGCCAGCCTGGGCAACTTAGTGAGAACCTATCTCAAAATAAAATTTTGAAATGGAGGGGCTGGGGATATAGCTCAGCAGTAGAGTGAACCTGGGTGCAATCCTCAGTATGTATGTATGTATGTGTGTGTACGTATAAATACAAAATTTAATTAAATTTAAAAACAAGCTGAATATGGCCCTACCTTTCATATATTTAATGACCCTCATTCCTTAAAAATTTTGGTGGGGCTGGGGTTGTGGCTCAGTGGTAGAGCACTCGCCCAGCACATGCAAGGCCCTGGGTTCAATCCTCAGCGCCACATAAAGATAAATAAGTAAAGGTACTGTGTCCATCTACAACTAAAAAATATTTTTTAAAAAAGTTTGGTAATAAAAATATGAAAAAGGACCATTTCCAAAGTCAATTCTTAACTAAAACTATTCAATATCAAGTCAATGTCAAATCATTATCCTTCTGCTGGTTTTTAGCAACATAAAAGAATAATATAAATTCTTTTCCAATTGCTCATGTGTGCCATATATGAAAATAATCCAAACCTTCAACATTTCTCTGTTTTTGTTCTAATTAGTTATACATGACAGTAGAATGAGTTTTGACATATCATACATAAATGGAGTATAACTTCTCATTCTTCTGGTTGTACATGATGTAGAATCACACTGGTCGTGTAGGCATATATATACATAGGGTAATAATGTCCAATTCATTCCACTATCCTTCCCACCCCCATACACCCTTCCCTCCCCCTTCACTCCCCTCTGTCTAATCCAAAGTAACTCTATTCTTCCCTATACACCCCCTTTATTGTGCATTAGCATCTGCATATCAGAGAAAACATTTCAGCCAAAGCTTTGACATTTCTAATGTCTTTGTGGGCTACAACTTTCATAACTAACAGCAACAATTTAATGAATGGCAACAATATATAAAAATTTGTGCAACACATTATTAGAATTAACTCTTAGCTGTCTCTACCACCCACATGTTACTTTGAAAGCAAGCTCTGGGTATTGCTGGAAAAAGAAAAGTACCAATTGAACCACATTTATAGTTATAGTTAACTATAAATGTTTATTTCACTTCCCAATTATGAATCTGGATCAAAATCATTGGTGTCCATTCAATAGATACCAAAATGAATTTCATAAAATTCAAAACCTACTCATGATTTTTTAAGAACTCAGAAAACTAGAAATGGATGGAATGCTTCCTTAACATAATTTTAAAATTTTGACTAAATAATAATGGTTTCTCCCATTAAATTATCAATAACAAAAAAAGAATCCCACTTTCACTGTTTCATTTTAACATTACTCTGGTAGTGCCAACCAGTGCAATAAGACATAAAGCCGAAATAAGAGCAATAACTATTAGATAGAAACATATAGTTTTGCGTAGCCAATGTGATTAAATACCTACACTCAAGAAAACTAATGGAAAAACTCCCAGAATGGATAGGAAAATTAAGTATAATACATAGGTTAATCCCAATGGCTTGAAACACATTTTTTAAAATATTTTAAAGACATTAATGGACCATTATTTTATTCATTTATTTATATATGGTGCTGAGAATCAAACCCAGTGCTTTACACAGGCTAGGCAAGTGCTCCACCACTGAGTCACAACCCCAGCCCCTTGAA